TGGGGAACCTGGGGCAGTTGGGGGGCCGTGGGGAGGTGGGGGCAGGACACCAGGGGTAGCAGGGGCGGCAGCCAAAGCAAGACGAGTAGTCCCATCTGTGGAGGCCCCCTCCCCATCCCCCACACCTGGAGGCCCCCCAGCTGAGGGCTGAGGCGCTGGAGACAGGTCACCGGGTCCCTCCCCGGCTGCACCCCCATGGCTCCGTGTGAAAGCAGGGTGGTTTCACCCGCACCGAGACCGCCCATCCGCAGCAGCCCCGCCCTGCCCCCCAATGCACACCCACACAGAGAAGGCCTCCAGCACCCTGTCTGCTCTTCCGCGGGGAGAACCCGAGTTTGCAGATGGTGCAGAAAGGAGCATTTCTCGGACCCTGTCAGGCCCCGGGGGGTCCACGGTTCCAAGGCTGATCCAAGTGACCCTCCCAGAACGGAGAGGCCCGTCCCAGACTGGGTGGGGCTTCCCTGCCAAGGCCCCGGCCCAGCTCCCAGCTCCTGCCCCCCACCCCCCAGAATGCGCTCTACCAGTCCTGCCACGAGGACGAGAACGACGTGCAGACCATCTCCCACAAGTGCCAGGTGGTGGGGCGAGAGCAGTACGAGCAGATGACGCGGAGCCGGAAGTGCCAGGACCGGCGGGACCTCTACTACCTGGCGGGCACCTATGACCCCACCACGGGGCGCCTGGTGGCGGCCGACGGAGCGCCCATCCTGTGCTGAGCCTGGCCGAACTGAGGGAACAGCTGGGAGCCAGCATCGAGTCAGCAAATACGCAAACCCAGGCAGGCAAGGCCCAGGCTTCGCATTCCTTTCCCTGGGGAGCGGGCGCGCCTGGTGGGGGCGCCGGGCCCCTTCGGAGGGTCCCCCAGCCTCTGCCTCCTGGCCCCGCGCTCCGCGTCCCCATCGGCAGTTCCCGAGAGATTAGAATCCAAGCCATATTTTCCCTAGTACCTCCGACTGTCTCCCACCAGGGAAAGCAGAAATCAGGTGTGCTGTCTATTTATTTCTCTCTGTAAATACTGTATTTCTGCGGGAAGTTTTATGGAAAAAAATAGTGGAAAAGGATTTTTTCCCCACACGCGTGACGAGGGTGTATGTGCATGCGTGTGCGTGTGTGTGTGTGCGTGCGTGTGTGTGTGTAGGTTTCGTTCTGGGGGTTTTCGTTGAAAATGCACTGTTTTGCTCAGCCTAGCTGAGTTCTGACAGGGGCGTCTGTGGCAACAGAAGCAGCTGGGGGTGGGGGCGGTCACGGGGGGTGGACGGGACCCTCAGTCCCTGCGCTGATCGCGGGACCGCGTGAGATGGAGTCACACTGCTGTTTCTTCCCTTTTGATCCACCTACGAGGAAACAGGAAGGAGGAAACGTGTAGCGGGGGTGTGGGGTGGGGGAGGTCACGATGAGGGTCCCTGGGGAGAGAAGGGTTTCCAGAGGCTAAAATGAAAACCAGGATCAGCCGGTCCCCCCAGCCTGGGATTGTGACAGCCATACATGTAATCTTACCTCGGTTTAAAACAAAACAAATATGAACAAATGTTTTAAAGTATCGATACGAAAAAGTGATGTTTTGATTTTATTTCCTGAATATTCCAAGGTATTTCTGATTTCCGTTGTGATGGCCAGTTTGCCCAGCCTCCACTCAGAGCAGGGAAGGGACCAGCCCCCACCAACTCACGTGGAGGTTCCAGGGCCTTTTCTGTGGCCACTGGGCAGGGCAGGTGGCCTGGCGGGCAGGCCAGGCTTGGGGTGTGGGGCCAGCTCGGGTCCCTCCTGCCTGCCCGAACCCACGCCCTCAGGGGCTGTTCACCCCTGCACCCAGACCCTCGGCACCACCCCGGGAGCCTCAGAGTATTTGTCACCCCCTCACCTCTCCTGTGGCAAGAGAGACAGGGCGAGCCAGACCCATGGCCCAGCGGCCCTTGTCCCAGAAACATGGAGGGCCATGTGTCCCCACGTGCCACCACACCCCCTGGGAGCCCCAGGAAAACCCCCAAGTTAGTCACTGTTCCTTAGGACGAGTTTTTGTGTGACCACAGACCTGCAGCCCAGGTCCCCGGGAAATGTGGGATGTCTGTGGGTGCCCGGCACCCCAACCTAGCCCCTCTCTGCCCTTCCTTTCCAGCCGGGAAACCACCCCGGCCCCACCTCCCGCTTCTGGCTCCATGGGAAGTACAGGGGCAGGGAGGGGGTCCCCTGCACCCCAGCTTACCTCTCCCACCCCGTTCTCCCCTTTGTCTCGGCACGAGTGCAATATTTCAGTCCTGGTGATCACCCGGGAGGCGGCGCCCGAGGGCCTGCTCGCGGCTGGACAAGCAGAGTGGAGAAGACGCGCCGGGTGCCAAGGCGCTGAGTGGGGACAGCCCAGCCACAAAAGTTAGAGCGTAAGGCTCTCTTCAAGCCCAGGCACTGAGCGAAGGAAAAGACCCTTCTCTTGGCCCTCGCACTGACTCTCTCCCCTCCGTCCCTCTACCCGTGCATGTGGGCGGTGTGGCCCGCCCTCTGACCGCGGTTAGACCTGGCGGAGCTCGGCTCTTGTAAATGTGTAAACTAAGAGGATGGTTGGATTTTTTTTTCAATGTAAACACTAAAAACAAACAAACAAAAAAAAACACAAAGGTTTTATGAACAGCAAACTCTATGTAAAGGCATTTTAGTATTAAATTTTTTATTGATAACTTGCTTAAGAATAAATATATGAACTATTGTACAGGTGGTCGGTGGTCCGGAATCCTACTGTGCCTTGGTGTCCGTGTGCACGTCAGCGGCGACTCCCCGGAGGCCGTGGTGTCTTGGGGGGGGGTCTCAGCCGACGTGCCCGCCTCCGGGCCAGGTCTGCCCCCCAAGTCAGCCAGAGAGGACCCCCTCAGGGCTCAGGGCCTCACACGCGTGAGGGGACTGTGCGACCAGAATGGGCTTGGGGTGGCTTTGGCCTTCAAGACCTCTCAAGATGAGGGTCCCTTTTTTTACACATCTCACCGGAGGTGAGTCAGACGTCCACGTGGCCAGGGCAGGTGCTCCTGGAGGAGAGGAGGGGAAGGTTAGCCCCCCGCAAGGCACAGGCACAAGGGGAGGGGAAGGTGGTCCCCAAAGTGCCAGCGAGGGGAGGGGCCTGGGCAGACCAGACGGCAAACACCCTCCTCAAGGAGAGCAGGAATTTATTCATTCAACAAACATCATCTCAGCTGATAGCCTGTGTAGGGGTAACAAACAACAATGCTCCAGATTGTTGATGGAGAGCTGAACCCCCAAGGCTGGAGGGTGTCAGGAAGCGGGTACATCGGGGGACTGGGAAGCCACCCCAACAAGCCCTTAGCTAGAGAGAGCCGTGCCCAGTGAGGCTGCAGGCCCGAGGTCTTTCCAGAACCCCACCACCTAGCCAGGGAGGAGGCACTCCGTTTTCCCTCCACCTCCAAGGTCCCTGGGGAGAGAGGTCCCAGCTGGGATTACAGACCCCAGTAAGGGGACTCAGATTGGGGCAGGTGTGCAGGACAAGGTAAGTGTGGGGAGTGGGGCTGTGACAAACACGGACCCCGCCGCGGGCGTGTAAGGAGCCGTGGGCTGTTCACACCTGTGCATATACACACACAAAACCCCCAACCCACCCTGGGGCTGCCCTCAGCCAGCTCTGCTGACACCCCACTCCCCTTTCTCATTTCCTCCGCGGGACCGACCTGGCCAGAGAGAGCAGAGGGGACAGGGCCCTGAGCACGGAGACAGGATGGAAGGGCAAGCAGCTCTTCCTGCAGCGGTTCTGAGCCCACCAAGCGGGATGATTAGAACGGGGTGCCTGAGCAGGAGGCCTGGGGCTGTGTACAGTCGGGGCACACGTCTGCTTTGAACACACCCTGACTGAATAGTCTCAGCGCCTGGATTCAGCCATGCCTGAAGGCGGAAAAACTTTGCCCTTGGACTCAGTCCATGAATCAGCAGAGGTGAATTGGTGGGGTTCCAGCCTTGGCGGCCCACGGTCCAAACAACCCAAGGACTGAGGCAGGGAGGGACAGAGTGGGCCCAGAGGAGGCCTTGGGGGCCAGGCTGAGCTGTGGGACTTGATATGACAGGAGTAGCAGCTCTGAGGGAAGGAGAGCCTGCTAACCTAGGTTTCTGGCTCAGGGACCTTCGGTGGGCCGGGGAGGAGGGGCCGGGGCAAGGCCAGAGGCTCCGGAGACCTCAGCCTCAGGGGCTTCCACACGTTAGTTGTGTGCAGGGGCAGAATCCAGGGGACCGGGGCCAGGGAGGGGACGAAGGTCTGGGGCCACTGCCTCGGGCTTCTGGGGTCCTTGAGCCGGGATTTGCAACCGTGCCGCCTCCTGCTCACACCAAGGCCTGCCTGGCAGGGCGGGGCACAGTGGGCACCAGCAGTCACAGCGGAAGTCCTGGAGTGGGGCCAGGGTGGGGTGGGTGACAAGGCACAGAAAGGGCAGCAATGACCGCCCAGTGGCCGGGTGGGAAAGCTCCTGCCGCCTGTCATGGGTTCGAGGCCTCCATTCCCCTGACACTGGTGCCAACCACAGCCAGCCATGGGGGGGGGACACCAGAGCAGCCTTCTAGACGCTGGGGCACCCCGAGATAGGCAGCCGGGAAAGGACACCAGAAGAGTCCCCCGTGGAACTCCGCTGGATGCTAGGGCTGAGCCAGGCCTGCTAGCTCCAGCCCGGGGCCCCCTGCTGCAGCCAGACTGACAGGGACATCAGGGACACCGTTAGGAACAGCCCGTGAGGGCTTACCGGAGGAGGCGACACCTGGGCTGTCCTGTAGGAAGAACAGGGCAGGGCGGGCAGAAAGCAGGTGAGGACGCCGCCGGTGGCCAAGAGGCACAGGGGCCCGATGCTGGAGCTAGAGTGTGGCAGAGGCCCGATCGGGGTGGCAACTGCGCTGTCACACGGTCTGCCGCACAGAAGGATGCAGCCAAGGCTCCAGGCAGAGGGTCCACAGCCCACTGAGACCGCTCCCGCTGCAGCCCCTGGGCCAGGGTGAGGGCCCCGGCCGGCACCCAGGGAAGGCGCTGGCGCCCAGAGAGCAGCTCTAAGGGCCTGGGGTGGGGGCCAGAGAGCCAGGGGGCCTGAGGGTGGGAACGCAGGGGAGGGGAAGGGGGTGGCCAGGGGCCCAGGAACGTGGGCAGGTGAGGTGACCCGGAGGTTGGTGACTACAGGGACACCGGAAGGGGGGGCCAAAGCAGGACTGGGTGAGCCCCAGGAGCCGCACCTGCTCCCATCCCCTCCCGCTCCAGGTGCCTCCCTGCCCCCTCTTGCTTCCCATCTTCACTCAGACAGGGTGGCCCCTGCCTTCTAGAACCTCCCACCCCCCAGAACAGGGCCCAGGTGAGGGAAGGGGGTGGACACGAGCGGAGCCCCAAGGGTTAAACATGCAGGACTACACTTTGATCAAGACAAACGAGCCATTATGTGAAACGCGAGGCAAGATAAATGATGGCATTGGGTGAGCGAGATCGATACAAGTGATGTTTTATCAGGTAGAAATGACAACCCGGCTGATCGCCATTCGTTTTTAATACCACAAACCAATCGGGGGACGAGGGACTTTAATTGTTGATGCCCCAGTCTGGGGCTGGGTGGGAGCTCGCCTCAGACCCAGGCCGGGGACAGGTGAGAGGTCAGCTCCGTGGCCCAGCCAGCGAACGGGCATCTGGGCACTCAGCCAGCCAAAGGCCACTGGCCGGAAGGGCCCCTAACGGCCTCCTGAATCTGTGCAGCTGTGAGCAGCAAGGAGAGACCTGGCTCGGGGGCCCCTGGGTGCCAGCTAAGGAAGTGGACAGAGGTGGCACCAAGGAGAGTGACCCGAAAGACTCCCTTGCCTCCTGCCAGGACCCCAGGGGTCCCGACCTCCATTCTCCACATCCCCAGCCCCCTGGCCGTCACCCCGTCCCATTTCCCAGGGGTCCCGGTGAAAGCCAGCACCCTCCAAAGCTGTTTCTCGTCTAAAAGCCAGCTTCCTGCGCCTTTCTCTAGGCACCTGACTCAGGTCGCCCACTCAAACCTGGGACAGTGATGGAGGCAGGGCTGCCCCAGGCAGACGGGCTGGGAGGTCACTAAATGAATCCTCTCGGTGCCCACCTAGGGCCCAAGTGCCATTGGTGGGGGTGACGGAGGCCTCCGGAGAGGACAGGGGGAGGCAGGTGGGGCGAGGCGGCAGGTGGGGTGCAGCCTGGCTCTTCCTTGCTGCAGCCCAGGCCTCAGAGTCCACTGCTGTAAAGCAGGGTCCCTGCCTCTTGCCGCCGATGAGAATGTGACGAGATGAAGGTGAAGCTCCACAAGGTGGCAAAAGGGACTTCTGGAGGTGCACGCACACAGGGCCCTTTCCCTGGGCCCCACACCACTGCCCCAGGTGGGAGTGTGGGGACACACGCCTGGCCCCAGGCTGGATGCACTGGAGCCAGATTCCACCCCCGTCCAGTTCAGGGGCCCCACTCTCCCCGACCTGGCGATCCCTCGGGGCCCAGGGAGGTGCCCCAGCAACTCCACCAAGGGTCCTCACAGCCGCCCCAGGGGCTCGGTCCAGGGATTGACAGGGGCTTCCCTGGGCAGCATGTAGGGGGCCGCACCCCCTTCTCTGACAGATGATCACAGAGCCTCCTAAGCGTCAGGCATGCACCCTCCTGCCGCCCCTGTGTGAAGGAGGAGGCCTGGGGGGCGTCCCAAAGCCACGAGACACGCCTCCCCCTCTCCACACTAGCCTGGGATGCCATGGCTCCTGTGCAGCTGCCTGCCCAGCCCTGAAATGACAGGAGCGTGGGGGCCCCTGGGGCAAATGCTCTGAGACCAACAGGACCGGAGCAAGAGGACTGAGAGCAAGGCCAGGTGAGCAGAGATGCCTCCGGTGAGAAGGGTTCTGGGTAGAAGCTGGGGTAGGAGGTGTCAACGCCCCTCCTCCCCGCACTGGCTGCCCGTCCCTAGGCCCCAGCTGCTGGGATTTGCCCGGTCAGGAGCACTGACACACTGCTCCTGTGTCCAGCCCCCGGGAGAGAGTCTCCAACAGATCTACTAGGGACCAGACCCCCGGGGAGGATTCGGATGGATGGGGTGACTGTGGGCCCTATGGACAGCCCTGGGACGCCCCTCCTTGCCCCTCCTTCCCTCCAGTCTGGCCAGGACATGGGAACCATAGAGGCTGTAACTGGGTTGCGGGGGAGGGGCCGGCCCTCGGCGCTGTTCGGATCCCTGACCCACTGCTCTGCAGTCTTGACACCCGTCTCTGCAGAACCTCCCATCCTCAGCGCACAGGCTTGGGAGTCCTGCGAGGGCGCCGTTCAGGCAAGAAGGGGCCAGGGTGGCCTGTAAGCACCCCACTCTGCGTTTGGTGCGGTCCTGAGGGGATGGAGTCTGTGGCCCGAGCTCTCCGGGGCTCTCCGGCACTTACAGCCGTTCGGGGGCTCAGACGCCCTTCGACTCCAGGCCTGAGGGCAGGGGAGAGGCCCTCCCAACCAAAGCAGCAGTCATCGCTGTGCCGCTTGCCCCGTTCCGGCCTCGGAGGAGGTGAGCCGACCGAGCGCTGCCAGGAAGGGCTTGTGACGAGCACGCCGCAAAGCCACCTGGTGCCACTGCCAACCTGGAAAACTGTGTCTTCTTAGGTTCCGCATTCCCCCGACATCATCCCCCTTCTCTGGCCTAGACTGAGTTTTCAGGTGCTCTCTGTCACGGGCTGCCCTAACTTCAGTCGGGGCGGGGGCGGGGATCCCCCCCCATGGGCGGGCT